TGTGCATATGCGAAAAGGGAAATGCGAACACTCATGATGAACTTGACTGTATAGTATCCAATTACAGTGATGGAGAGTTACTCTTAACTCGTATCCTTATGTCCTTTTCCTTTCTACACTCATGATGAACACTTGGCTTTTAGCCTAGTTTGTTTATTTAGCTTTATTTTACTTCACTAGTTCGCATGCGCTGATCCCAATCCGCGGGAATCTCCAAGTTTCAACCCACTTTGAAGCTTGGAGAGCTTGGAGAGCCTCCTAAAATTGGGAGAGGATATAAGAACAGCTATCGAACTTTTCGGACAGTCTCCAACTTTCCGAGAGGATTTAAGAACGCACCCTTTGTGTTTGGGAACTGTTTAGCATTGAAAATTGGACTGATAGTTTGGTCTAAGTGCTGTTTCAGGTCGAATTAAAAAAGGGTTTATGAACTTGTTGAGCCCAATTGGGCATGAATCGGATTACAAAATCCAGAGATCTACTACTTGTGAATAGACTGTGGTACATACTAAGTGTTCTGCTTTGTGAATACTGCACGACTGAAGTACATGTACCTTTGTGGCATTTTTGGTCTCCTGGCCAGCAATCGAGGACATCTGGGAGCTGTAATTTTTGTACTCCTCCGACGAGTGATTTTCGGCCTGGGACAAGCGCAAGGAGAAGCCTTCTGCCGACAAAGAAACTGAAGAAAGGGTTTTTGTTGGATCCTTTGATGTTCATTCCCAACTCATCACAACCACGCGCTCTTCAGCCGAACCATACAGACACCAGCAAGGACACTTGTTGTTGTTGTTGTTGACTCTTATTTTACTTCACCAATTGCACAGGCATGATTGCCTTCTTACCGGCCTATAGGTCCGGTTCTCACAGAAAGATGAAGAAAATTATATGAGGAAATGTATAGAGATAAAGACATGCAAGCGGTATGATTATTATTATAGAAATGTTTGTTATGACATTGTGTGTATGCTGACACTCAATTTGTGTGAACTTTTTATAATGTGACAACAAATAAAATGTAGTGGAAGCATTTCATGAGAATATATGTGTGAACATTGGCAGACTTTGTTGGATGGGGACACTTTTTAGCAGTCCAGGGAACATGAAGTACGGCGAGGGGTGTTGGACTGTTGGCATAGAGTTTACAAGTTAAGTACGTCAATATCAGATAGGGCTCTCTTGAATTGATCGGCAGCAGTTATCGATCTTACATCAGCCGAGAGGGCGTTCCATGCAATACTGCCGTGAAACATCATACTCGAGCGACCAGCAGGCCCGCGAAGGAAAGGGACTTGGAGCAAGTTGGAAACTTGGCCCCTAGTGATGCGCTGATCTTTTAGCACGGTGTTTGGAGCAATCGTTGTAAAGAGTTGCTGTAGGAGTGGGCTACAGTATCCATTGATACAGCGGTGTACAAAGATTAGAACTTTCTGAGTGTATGTGTGTGCCAGGCTGACTATACTAAGAAGTGCCAGAAGCGGTGCGGTGGGGGTGAGAAAGCGCTGTTGCAAGGTTGCACGAATGCCGGCTTTGAAACTCTTCTCCAGACGTCCAAGCAACTGGGCAGAAAGCCCAGGTACAAAGCTATTCGAACCATAGCATAGCTGAGAGAGGACCATGCTGAGGAACCAAGTGCGTCTGGCGCGCAAACTGAGTCCTTGGCCATGCCTCCAGAGCTGGCCAATGGTCCTAGCAGTCTTGCGGCTCAGGTGTGCAATGTGGGGCTTCCAGGACAGCTCCTCATCGAGTATTACCCCGAGATACTTAGCCGAAGGTGTGATAGCAAGTTTGTCAGCATGGCAGAACACCTCCGGCTGTGTGTCATCTGCGCCACTTCCGTTGAGAGATAATATTGCTCCACGCCTCTAGACAGCTGTTTCGCTCCCTGTCGGAGCTCATCAGTAGAGGATAATAATGATGATAATGGAGGAAAGATCATTCTTATACACCAGAAATGGTGCAAATGCACGCTTTCCACATATATCAATGGCATATGCAAGCTGCTAAAATGGTAAAGTGTGAGAACAGCGATAAATAATCATAGTACTCGCTCATTGGTGGAGAAACACACCACACAAGCGACGAAAACCTGAAGCGGAATACTGATGCCAATGGAAAGTACATGTATGTTGTTTATTATTATGATGTTGCAATGTCCATGTATGCAGGCGAGGCGAGACTCACCGCCGAGATCCCCCAACGCGACAGGCTCGGTTGCCGTTCAGGATTCACACCGACCTGTCTGCCCGTCAACAGGATCGACAGCGGGGGGCCCCACTGATGCCGATGTCGATGCACACCAGGAAACTTGTAGTCGTGAGTGTGATACTAACAGGTCTAGTAGCAACCACTGACAAACGAAAGGCCAGCTGGGGCATTCACTCCAGTCAGGGATGCTTGATCGACGCTTCGTATCAGCAGCTCAGCTCAGTTTGATCAAAGATGTTGCAGATGTGTCTTGCTTTCCTCCTTCCTTCTTCACCGACTCGTCTTGTCACCTCTCCTTCTTGCTTCACCGACTCTTCGTGTCCACTCTGCTCTGCCACTAACGGCGCATTAAAACTTCAGAACTAAATATTGCGACAGAGCTTTCGGCCATATTTTCAATTCATTCCCAACTCATCACAACCACGCGCTCTTCAGCCGAACCATACCGACACCAGCAAGGACACTTCCGTTGAGAGATAATATTGCTCCACGCCTCTAGACAGCTGTTTCGCTCCCTGTCGGAGCTCATCAGTAGAGGATAATAATGATGATAATGGAGGAATGATCATTCTTATACACCAGAAATGGCGCAAATGCACGCTTTCCACATATATAAATGGCATATGCAAGCTGCTAAAATGGTAAAGTGTGAGAACAGCGATAAATAATCATAGTACTCGCTCATTGGTGGAGAAACACACCACACAAGTGACGAAAACCTGAAGCGGAATACTGATGCCAATGGAAAGTACATGTATGTTGTTTATTATTATGATGTTGCAATGTCCATGTATGCAGGCGAGGCGAGACTCACCGCCGAGATCCCCCAACGCGACAGGCTCGGTTGCCGTTCAGGATTCACACCGACCTGTCCGCCCGTCAACAGGATCGACAGCGGGAGGCCCCACTGATGCCGATGTCGATGCACACCAGGAAACTTGTAGTCGTGAGTGTGATACTAACAGGTCTAGTAGCAACCACTGACAAACGAGAGGCCAGCTGGGGCATTCACTCCAGTCAGGGATGCTTGGTCGACGCTTCGTATCAGCAGCTCAGCTCAGTTTGATCAAATATGTTGCAGATGTGTCTTGCTTTCCTCCTTCCTTCTTCACCGACTCGTCTTGTCACCTCTCCTTCTTGCTTCACCGACTCTTCGTGTCCACTCTGCTCTGCCACTAACGGCGCATTAAAACTTCAGAACTAAATATTGCGACAGAGCTTTCGGCCATATTTTCAATTCATTCCCAACTCATCACAACCACGCGCTCTTCAGCTGAACCATACAGACACCAGCAAGGACACTTCCGTTGAGAGATAATATTGCTCCACGCCTCTAGACAGCTGTTTCGCTCCCTGTCGGAGCTCATCAGTAGAGGATAATAATGATGATAATGGAGGAATGATCATTCTTATACACCAGAAATGGCGCAAATGCACGCTTTCCACATATATCAATGGCATATGCAAGCTGCTAAAATGGTAAAGTGTCAGAACAGCGATAAATAATCATAGTACTCGCTCATTGGTGGAGAAACACACCACACAAGCGACGAAAACCTGACGCGGAATACTGATACCAATGGAAAGTACATGTATGTTGTTTATTATTATGATGTTGCAATGTCCATGTATGCAGGCGAGGCGAGACTCACCGCCGAGATCCCCCAACGCGACAGGCTCGGTTGCTGTTCAGGATTCACACCGACCTGTCCGCCCGTCAACAGGATCGACAGCGGGAGGCCCCACTGATGCCGATGTCGATGCACACCAGGAAACTTGTAGTCGTGAGTGTGATACTAACAGGTCTAGTAGCAACCACTGACAAATGAGAGGCCAGCTGGGGCATTCACTACCGAGCCTGTCGCGTTGGGGGATCTCGGCGGTGAGTCTCGCCTCGCCTGCATACATGGACATTGCATCATCATAATAATAAACAACATACATGTACTTTCCATTGGCATCAGTATTCCGCTTCAGGTTTTCGTCGCTTGTGTGGTGTGTTTCTCCACCAATGAGCGAGTACTATGATTATTTATCGCTGTTCTCACACTTTACCATTTTAGCAGCTTGCATATGCCATTTATATATGTGGAAAGCGTGCATTTGCGCCATTTCTGGTGTATAAGAATGATCATTCCTCCATTATCATCATTATTATCCTCTACTGATGAGCTCCGACAGGGAGCGAAACAGCTGTCTAGAGGCGTGGAGCAATATTATCTCTCAACGGAAGTGTCCTTGCTGGTGTCTGTATGGTTCGGCTGAAGAGCGCGTGGTTGTGATGAGTTGGGAATGAATTGAAAATATGGCCGAAAGCTCTGTCGCAATATTTAGTTCTGATCCTTTGATGTAATATTTTTAACTAGTCAAAGTTAGTTGCTGCTAGGAGTAGAAACATTGAAAATAACTATCTAATCCATGACTGTACTGATGTACTCATGTACTCAGGCATGCAGATTTACTCGTATCTTAGCTGTTTCACCAGAATGGATGCTGCTCTGCGGCCCTTGGTGAACACATGGACATACAGTTTTCTTGTGGATTTTTAGTTGTTTCGTCTTGTGTCGCGATGGTGAAGTGGACAGGATGATTTTCTACCTCTAGGCTTCATTCGGCCGACTTTGCTCCGTCCTTTTGGGAAAAGTGATGTTGAAAAAGGTCGATTTACAAAATTATGTTGACTTTCAATGTACGTGATGACCTGCGAGTGCTGGCGAAGGCAAGCAGATTGCATGGTGTGACAGACACTTTGTGTATACAGTAACATTCTACTCTTTCCGTTGTATGCTCAGGGTTATCGTCTGTTAGCAATTGCTTTGGCAAGCATCATTGCTTTCTCCGCATCAGCGCTGGCATCCTGCAGCGCGTGTTATTGCAATGGCACCATAGTGTCCTGCACAGCGACCCCTGTGTCAAGTGTGACGGTATTTCCAACCTCCACCACCAACTTGTAAGTCACGGCCAGCAATCAAGGACATCTGGGAGTTGTAGTTTTTGTACTCCTCCGAGGTGTGATTTTTGGCAAGGGCCAAGTACAGAGAAAAGCTGAAGAAAAATAGTTTTTGTTTGATCCTTTGATGTAATCTTTGTAGCTGGTCACAATTAGTTGCTGTTTGGAGTAGAAACACTGAAATTGACTATCTATTGCATGACTGTACAGATGTACTCAGGCATGCAGGTTTACTCGTATTTTAGCTGTTTGGCCGGAACGGATGCTGCTCTGCGGCCTATGGTGAACATTACCTGCACTCGTGGAGCAGCTGAAAAGGACCACTAACGTTAGAATGTCTTGTTCCCGGTTTGAAAGTGGACAGTCGACTTTTGTTCCTTGAAAAAGGAGTAGACGGCGACAAAAGTACATCTGTGACGGATTTTTGAGTGCTCCCCATGCATTGTGATGGTAATAGAAAATTCTCAGTTCAACGTCAGCGCGGCGTTGGGCGTACAGTTTTCTTGTGGATTTTTGGATTGTGTCGTCTCGTATCGTGATGGTGAAGTGGACAGGATTATTCTCTTCCTCTTGGTTTCGTTCGGCCGACTTGTTTCGTCCTCGTTGAAAAGTTATGCTTCAAAAAAGATTGATTCACAAAATTATGTTAGTTTTAGAAGTAGGTGTTGACATGCGATTGCTGGCTATGGATCAGTACCAGATGGTGTGGTCCAACCGGCTTCCAACAATTTCGGTGTGTGGCAAAATAGCAGTACAGCATTTGCCTGAGTATAACACGCAACTGAGTATAATGCTCAACCCCTTTTTTGGGCAACGGTTTGGCAATTCAAAGCATATCCTGAGTATTACGCGCAGCCTAGATATGAGAGCATTATCGATTACATAAACAATACTACGGGTCCTCCTTCCTTAGTAGATAATCTCTGGGCCATCGATAAGGCTATCTTATAACGGGACTTATCTTGTAACAGGACTGGCAACTAAAGATATAAGAACCACAGGTTCGTGCTTATATGAGATACCCTCAATACAACATAATCTATTGCCATGGCAACTCGTTATTAGATAATTGAAAACCTCCATCAAGGTTATTCCTGAGATACAAACGATCGTACATATCTACGGATACACATTATAGAATATGTTGTATCTTACTGCTTTATCAAGTGTGTTTTCACCTTGGTCATGCTTGGACAAAAAAAAAGATCTTATACTGAGGGTTTGGCACTCCAGGAACTTGGGTCAAGGGTCGTTATAGCGAATTTTATGTACTAACGAATTATCTTGTAACGGTACCTGGAACCAGTTTTATAGACCACGTTTCGCCAGGGGTTTTCAGAATTCTATTCACATGTACCAACGGGCTTTACGTAATAACCAGACTCGTTATAGCAAGGGAGGACCTATAGTGCAGCCATTGTCAAAAATGTATCATTGAAATTGATTATGATTGTGTACATTTTCTACAAGATACTTGCTACCAATGAGGTCTGGTGCTCATCGTGCATGCATCAACAGTGTAGCTGGCAGTAGACAAATGAAATGCACACAGTCACAAGGCTTGTGCCGGGTCATAGGTGGCACACTCCTCAACAGTTTGATACGCCTCTGCACTACTTTTCCGAGTTCATGCATTTTCATGTTCAAATCATAGTGCACACCTTTGATGCACACCTTTGATGTGGGGCCCGAAATAGTACATCAAAAGTGGCCACTATACCCGGCAAACACTGTAATTCAATATTACTTCACAAAGCCTAATGGTGACCAAGAAAACTCCATTGGATTTGCTGCTCTAAATTTCACAAACTGTTGGGTGCAAAAAGACTCTTTTTGATTGAACTTACCAGTGAATGAAATTAGGAATAACAAACACCGTGGAATTTTCCTGGTGACCATTGTTCCGTGTGAGGTAATAATGCTCTGCCACGAGCTTCTCCCTGAAAAGCTTGTGCTTTTCCGCCGACTTGACAACTTGACAGAGCACACCAGAAGTTCATCGAAACTTCGACTAAGCCAAACGGCAAGAAAGCACCACTCCTACAACTCAAGCTGTATATGGGTGTTTGTTCCTCTTTGAAGGTTAGTAACAGGTCATAGAGAACTTCTCACGGATCAATCTTTCTAAAATGCAAAATATAGTATACAGGGGAAAACCAAAGTTGCAATCAATACGATGTGGTGCGACGCTCAGACTGAGATCAAGTCGGTAAAGTTCGTTTTCTTCTAAGCTGAGGTGATTGCCAGTCGGTGGAAGGCAAAGAAAGCAAAATTGCAAAGCAAAAGGGAAGTTGCATTGGGATTTCAAGTGCACTGCCTAAGGCCGGGGTCACACATGAAACGTTTGCACCGCTTTTGCGGAGGCGAAAAGCGTAGCTACCGCAGCCGCTTTTGCGGTCACACATACATGTACCGGTACTGTGTTCCTCAACGCTCCGCCATAGCGGAGGGAATGCAAATGCAGCACGTAGGTCTACAAGCCCTGTTACATTTAAAATGTTTCAAGTAAGAATAATTATAAGTTGTCCTAGTTGACGCGACCTTCGCTTGAGCCATCGTGGATCGCTGACACTGACAGGCTGCCGCTGAATGTCTCCTGTCAAGTACACTCGTGGATTTGGGGGCACATTCACTGCGGCCCAGTACAGACTACAGGTGTATTTGAATATTGGTTTAGTACATCGGTGTCAAATTCAAACAGTTGAATAGCAGGGTGTCGTGGCCTCCTCCATGACCCATCATCGACCCCAGCGTGGATGCCTGTGGTTGCAGTGAGGGTGTAGCAGAGTACTCTACTACAGCACTCGCTGGTTGGAGTCGTTGTGTTGTGCACTCTGGTGGACGCATTGCTTACGGAGAGAAACGTCGTCTCTTCTCATCTGCAAACGGGGCCAAGGAGTTGGGAGACGGATTCCCTCACCAGGTATTCACTCACATCGCTGCAGTGTCGTTTGCGAGATCTCCAGAACATACAGCGCCATTGGCAATGACGAACAATGGAATATGGAATAATACCAAACGCAACCAAACAACACCAGAACTTAGTGATCATCATTCAGGTTCCGCTAAAGCGGATCCGCGAAAGCGGAGGTTCCGCTAACATTGTTTTGGCGTAGTGAAGTCCAAACTTTCCGCCAAAGCGTAACGGTTTGGAAGCGGTAGCGGAAGTTGCGCTTTGGCAGCGCCGCCAAACAAAGTGCATGCGTGACCGAAACCTAAATCGGATGCTCGATCAGAAATAGACATTATTGACTAAACCCCTTTTTCACAAATTGGATGGGTCAACGTTTTTCCGAAATAAGACGATTGTTACGGCATTAGACGGGAGTGAGACTACCTTCAGCCTCCCTCAATTTGCTTCTGTCTCGTTCTCTCCACATTTGCCCCCTCCACCCTTCCCACTTGCTTATTCCTCTCGCTCTCTCTCCTCCTCTCACTCTCTGTCTGTCTGTCTGTCTGTCTGTCTGTCTGCCTCTGCCTCTGCCTCTGCCTCTGCCTCTGCCTCTGCCTCTGCCTCTGCCTCTGCCTCTGCCTCTGCCTCTGCCTCTGCCTCTGCCTCTGCCTCTGCCTCTGCCTCTGCCTCTGCCTCTGCCTCTGCCTCTGCCTCTGCCTCTGCCTCTGCCTCTGCCTCTGCCTCTGCCTCTGCCTCTGCCTCTGCCTCTGCCTCTGCCTCTGCCTCTGCCTCTGCCTCTGCCTCTGCCTCTGCCTCTGCCTCTGCCTCTGCCTCTGCCTCTGCCTCTGCCTCTGCCTCTGCCTCTGCCTCTGCCTCTGCCTCTGCCTCTGCCTCTGCCTCTGCCTCTGCCTCTGCCTCTGCCTCTGCCTCTGCCTCTGCCTCTGCCTCTGCCTCTGCCTCTGCCTCTGCCTCTGCCTCTGCCTCTGCCTCTGCCTCTGCCTCTGCCTCTGCCTCTGCCTCTGCCTCTGCCTCTGCCTCTGCCTCTGCCTCTGCCTCTGCCTCTGCCCCTGCCCCTGCCCCTGCCCCTGCCCCTGCCGCTGCCTCTGCCCCTGCCCCTGCCCCTGCCCCTGCCCCTGCCCCTGCCCCTGCCCCTGCCTCTGCCTCTGCCTCTGTCTCTGTCTCTGTCTCTTCAAATTCTCGGAAGAGAGAGAGAGAGAGAGAGAGAGAGAGAGAGAGAGAGAGAGAGAAAGAGTGGGGAGAAAGAGAAAGTGGGAATGGGGAAAGAGAACTTTGCATGGAGTTTTGAAATTTGCAGTCACAATAGTAGAGAACGAAGTTTATAATCTTGATCAGCAGCATGAAAGCTTGAATGCACGACAATATATTTTCGCGACCATTCACCTGGTTAGTGATAGAGGAGTCTAAGAGGACACTGATTATAAAAGTAGTACATGTCCTTCTCAAACTCGCAGCGGATTCCTGATTCTGCATGCACCTTTTATGCTCTAGATGTGTCAGCTGCATTGAAGGGTACAACTACCTTGCTGATTCTGCCCTCACTGTACAGCCAAACAGATGCCCAGCCTCCTCACTTATGGGGATAACGTAGAATCAGGTAGTAGCGGCACAAATGCATGTATGAGACAGCATGAATCAAACCCATCACAACCGCCTCTCTCTGAATATTGGAAGAACAATTTTCCTATCAGATATTGTGCGCTTAGTTCCAGTTCTCCTTCCAATCCATCCTACTGGTATGGGGCCAGGCGGCGTCTTTCCCCTCCGCATACACAAGCAAACTTTTTCGTGACAAGTGGTTTCAAAGCACACGTATTACTCATGGCTTGCACTAGTTAGCTGTCGGGTGTGAGCAGGGGAGGAAGGGGGGGGGGGGCAGGGGAGGAGGGGAGAAGGGGAGAGGAGATTCCCTTACATTGACATGCCACTATTTTTCTTTGTCCAGAACCCTTTATGGAACCTCCACACCAATAGTCCAAGATTACGGACGGTTTCCCAACCTTCAATACCTGTAAGACAATGTTAAAGTAAAATGTCTTCATGGCAATTGAATATAATGGTGCAGACATTGAGCTAGATTCCAGCAGCAGGCCTAAGGACATACTGCAGCCGGTCTCTTCCATGCTTCGTCTGGATCCGTGACCAATATTTAGCAATGGGGTATGTTGACGGATACGTGCATCCATGTGCTGAAGGATCTTGTACGACTTAGCAGTGAACGGATCACAAACAATGTACAATCCAGTGATGCTACTTGTCCTTCTGTTTTATTGGTTGAGGTTGCTTGTAATTCATCTGAAGAGAATGCCTGAAAACTGGTTCATAGATTTCGGAGTCCGTATTGATGATGGTGGTGAAGGATAGCTTGAGATTTGTAGTTTTTCTTTCCCTGATAAGCTGCCTGTCTTCAAGAAAGTTATTTAATTGTGTATCTCCAGCGATTTACGAAGCAACCGGCTCACCTCAGTGGATGAGGACCAATTTCAAAACGTCCCGAAACTCAAGGTTCTGTGAGTACAGGAATGGCCATTCATTACACTTCCACTGCGTGACTCAATGCATTCTCTGCTTGAAAAGGAACACCGCGTTCCGCCATAGCACACCGCTCTGCATTTGAACATGCGAGGAGTCTAACATAATTATACCGTTCTAAGTTATTCCAGACCACTAAATACATTATAATCAAGTGTGGCTATTGCATTTACTGTTGGAACTTAGGGTATCTTCATGCCAGCGGTTTTTCTTGCAGTTCACTTCTCTAACTGAACACAATGAATTTAAACTTCTCCTAGTCCAATAGAAACTCGGATGTTGAGCCATAAATAAATGTAGAAAGGAAAAGGACATAGTGTCTAGTTACAGTGATGGAGAGTTACTCTTAACTCGTATCCTTATGTCGTTTTCCTTTCTACTCCAATTGAGTTTGCTATTTGTTTCTGCTTTCAGCGCCCTAGACGACAACAGTTTCAAGTCGTTTCCACCCAAGCTTCTATACCACCTTGTCGACCTTCGCCTTTTGTGAGTAGACGAGTGTATAATTATTATGCTTCATAGTTATCTATAGCGTTTACATATATGCACATACCCATGTACACACTCACCCACCCACACACCCACACACCCACACAACCCCCCCCCCCCCACACACACACACACATTATCCACACACACAGCTGCTCTCATGCACACACACACACACACACACACACACACACACACACACACACACACACACACACTCACACACACACACACACACACACACACACACGCACGCACACATCCCCCCCCCCCCACACACACACACATCCACACACACACACACACACCTTTTGACCTTTGACCTTTTGACGCCCATCGCCGGAGGCGATGATAGCAATGCTACGGCAGAAGCCATAGCAACTTGTGCTGGGATTGCACCATTCAACAGCTTGCAAGGCTGAAGAATTGACCATCACTCTTCAGCCTGGTCTACACCATACAGCTATTTGAAGTGACTTTTTCTGGTCAGTGAATCCCTATTTTTGGTCTTTTCATTTTTTGTCCCCGCACACACATCACACCACATACTCCGGCATGCACTGGCTGTTGGTAATCACCCAGGCGAATAAAAGAAAAGTCAGGAAGAGTCTGAGAAAGAGAAGAAGGACGTGTGTGACTATAATCGTCGGGAATCGAACCCGCAACCTATCGATTGGAAATCGCTGCACATACCACTGTACCGTATGGGACACACACACACACACACACACACACACACACACACACACACACACACACACACACACACACACACACACACATGCACATACACATACACACACACACACACATACACACACACACACACTGATACACACATACACCAACACACACAAACACACACACACACCCACACACACACACACATATACAGGAGATAACACACAAGTAGAAGCATACTCTCTGGCTGTGCTCTTGGTTTTCATTTAAAGTGATATCACGAAGCAGCACTGACTTGAATGTCGAATAGACGCAGTTGATACATAAAAAAATTAATATTGGTTGCTGCAAATGGCATGGCTTAGTTAAAGGGGAAGTATACCCTAAAATCAAATTTTCACCAGTTGTAGTCTTCTGGGTGCTGAGTCGAATGGTCTTGGTCCGAGGAAGCTGCGACGCTCCCTTCCTTCTTTTTTCCCAATCGAACCCGCGCACTTCCACCGAAACTGGGTGACTGCGCCCTACTAGATGGGGATTTGTATGCAAAATCTCACTAAAAGTGCTATGTCGTTCTTATAAAAGCACGGATGACCGCGATTGGCCCATATGTTGTAGTGTTTTGGACGCTGAGTCGACTGGTTTTGGTCCGAAAAGGCTGCGATGCAGCGTTCCTCCTTTATTCCCAATCGAACATGGTTGAACAAGCGGTCACGTGCTCCTGCGTGCCCAAATCACCTGGTCACCGCGCCAGCAGGCGACAACTTTCACACCAAGGTTCAACTCGAGTTCAACTCGAGTGACAGGACTGCACCCAAAAAAGGTCAAACAGGCTAGTAAGTTGTACCCTGCAGGCACGGTGACCAGGTGATTTTGGCACCCAGGAGCACGTGACCGCTTCTTCAACCATGTTCGATTGGGAATAAAGGAGGAACGCTGCATCGCAGCCTTTTCGGACCAAAACCAGTCGACTCAGCGTCCAAAAGACTACAACATATGGTCCAATGGCGGTCATCCGTGCTTTTATAAGAACGAAATGGCGCTTTTAGTGACATTTTGCATACAAATCCCCATCTAGTAGGGTGCAGTCACCCAGTTTCGGTGGAAGTGCGCTAGTTCGATTGGGAATAAAGGAGGAAGGGAGCGTCTCAGCTTCCTCGGACCAAGACCATTCGACTCAGCACCCCGAAGACTACAACTGGTGAAATTTGATTTTAGGGTATACTTCCCCTTTAACATACGATGGGACATGTTGCAATGCAATGCATGTTGCCAATTGGACCCTCAGGATGGGTTCAAGTGCAAACACCCGTAATTGGAACCCGACTCTACAGCCGTGTACATCGAGACACGGTGCCAAGATTGAATCTGCTTCTAAAACTCATATTTGAGGTACACAGGCATCCAAAACCGCCACATTTGACATGTGCACGTGCATCTGCGTCGTAATTCTTTTGTCTAATCGGCTCATGCAAAGACTAGCCAAGCTTGCTAGGTCATGTCAACTCCAACAAGCTTAATGATAATAATATGTTCTAATAACTGCTAATTCTTCACCGAGATTTGTTTCTCTTTGCCTCCAGTAATGTGAAATATATATTTTTTGTTAGTGCAATAAAGAGTACATGTAGAGTAGATGCAGACATGGCCAGACAACAACGAGTTCATGGATTTTAAAGGATTTTTATGTTATTCAAAATCGATTTTGGTGTTCCGCTCATCAGTGAATAGTATCGGAACTGAGTACAAAAAAGAACATTTTATAAGAGCAAAATTAAAAGTGTGAACAAAAAAAGGGAAGTGCTGCAGCATTACATAATAGGTGTCAAACATAGCGCTAAAATATAAACCTGAGTGCAGGCACAAAGCATTTTTTGCTTTGTTTTTGTTTACTGCCATGGCTAGCTACCCCCCCCCCCCCCTCTCCATATTGGAATATATTCTCTGGCCACGGCAAAGTGAAATAAATAAAATAAATAAATAAAATAAAATAGCAAGCTGTGTCGCTAGTACAGCAACATAAGGACACATTTCCCCGCACGCATTTCTTGTAGGTCAACATGCCTGAGAAAATGTGACACTATGCTTGTAGAGCAATGTGCGTACATGTATATGAGTGCAACGGAAAATTTGCCAAAATTTGCCAAAACAATTTGCCAAAATTTCGTAGAGCGGTGGGAGGTGTGTAGATCATGCAACTCTTAACTCTTAGAACCACATGCAGACTCCATGACTTAGGCCAAAACAAATAATGACCTTGTTTCCGGTCGCCCAACCGGGCCACTTTTTCCCAAATTCTGAAACTTTGTTTTGGTCCCAAATGTATACAAACGGTGGCAATGCCATGTGTGCAAGTGCTCTCAAAGACTCATAACTCAGTCAAATCTCAACCGAATTCCACAATCGAAACACCTACAAGGTAGCAGAGATTCTCAGCTGTCGGCTCGGAAACCTCCGGGGTCGATACGAGCTAGAATAACGGAGCTGGAAGGACTCGAACTGTTTGCTTGATTTCTCAGGATGTACGAAAACAGGAATACACCACATGCTGTACAAGAACAGTGAGTCAGTCAAATTTGACATTGATCCTTGTCATGATATATGTACAATGTACATGTGTAGGTGCCCTTGCCCATCAATACCACAACGATTGAGGAATCAAAAAAAGTATCCAAAAAAAGGTTTCATTCCGGCCGACCGAATCTCCTTTTTGAGGGGTTGCCGACCGGAAACAAGCCTATTTTTTGTTTTGGCCTTATGTCAAAATGTCATTATCTTCAAAATTGTCTCACTGCACGAATTTTCCAACAAACATTATACTGCGAGGCAACAAACTTTCGCAGGGCACAAATTTAACGTTTTCATCAATTAGGCCGGTTCACTATGAGAAACATTTGCGATTCTATCTCTTCAGTTGGGTCTTGAGGTTTGCCGCGATTTATATTCGCAAATTAATGTGTGTTGTGTGATGGTCGCGAAAATAGCGAGATTTAATCTCTAGCAAAAGTTTCTCACTTCATAGTAGCGTAATGTCTAGCCAATGCTGTTATTTCCACTTCGTGTGTGTACAGTGGATGTATGTCGAACCAGTTGACCTACTTGCCTAACAACTTCTTCCTTAAAAATCGCAAACTGAACGAAGTGTAAGCCTATGCCACCACAATGTGCATTGAAATTTTCGTAATTTTACTCAGGGCTACCTAACAGAACCGTTTTAATCCTTGAAGCCCATGGTGCGGATACATACATGCCAGTTTGCTGAGCACACTTTTCAAAGTGCAACCTGGTGTAACTCGGCTGTCCCTTGGCCAAATCGGATGATCTAAAGCTCTACCGTGAAGTATCGCGAGAGCGCCCCACCATCTCGCCATTTTCTGGTCATGTTGTGGAGGTGGTGTTCTGTCTGTGCGTTGTATGATGCGGACCTTGTACACACCTTGCACGTTATCCAGTCAATCTATACTAAGGATGCGAGCTCCACACAAAACATACCACAGGTAACCTAAGTACGCTAAGTTCCTTACAATGCACAAACTTTGTTGCACTCTGCAATACAATGTTCCTTCCCTTGGCTGTGAAATCAAGGTGAGGCGCTCTTGCGAGACTGGACGCTCTCACGGTACTGTACGGTAGTAGTCGGTATTATTAATTTTTGTTAGGGGGCTACCATTACTGCCTTTTTACCGGGAATCCTAAGTGAATTCTAACCATGTTTATGAACAGAGCAAGAGACCGGGCCTGTCGACAGTCAGCTGAGGGAGAAATCCATCTGCCTGCGGCCAGAACATAAATAGAACACATGCAAAACTACGTATAAACAAGTGGGAGAACAAAGGCTCTTTGCGCCTTGCCTGGTGACCAGGTGCAGTTCCACGAAGCCGGTAAAAAGACCGAAGAAGAGAACTAGGAAAATGCTGGGCCAAGCAGCAGTGCACAAAACATAGAGTTTGAGGTGAGTATGCTGTTCCAAAGAAAAGAGGCGATATTAACAAAGACCTAGTTCAGTAGGCATAGTACGATGGAGTCAAAACAGTCTTTTCATTGCTATGTTACTAACGGTGACAATCCTATTGCATGATTTATTTCAGCATTATTGACATATTCTAAAGTGAACTGAATAACAGACAAATGAATCGCTTGCTCTGGTGTGGGTAGCATCATTTCGGGTCGTGAAGATATGAGAGATGAGAGGATTGCCAAGGGACCTCATGCACCAAAAAGTAAAAATGGAAAGCTTAAGAGCGAGGCGTAGGCTGAGTGGGTGGAGGTTGTGACAACGCAAAATGGGCTCAACGTCAGCACGGGAAGGGTAGGCAAATACAATACGAACAGATCGGCGGCTCAGTCCTAGAAGCTTATCGTATTCAGCAGCGTGTAATGAATGAACATAATGATGTGGTTGCGTACTCTAATTTGCTCTGTATAACTCCGAGATAGAAAGCTCGGCAGGCCATACTGTCCAGGTTGTCCCTGCCTCGCCTAACAGCACTTAGCTAGATCATGCCTGACCTACTCTATGGTTTAGACACATTCTTTGCCAGGCTATTTGGCCGCCAGTTAGACCACCTACAAACACTGCAGCACGGAGCTATACGGGCCATTGACGGGAACCCACCCCACACAGCCATCCAACCTCTGCTGACCAAGAACTGTCTATTCTGCTTGACGGAACTCGGCCTCACTCGCGATTCACTCGCCCCACTCGCGCCGGAAAATCCTGGCCCACGGTCGCAAGTGCTGTTTTGTGGAACTTTCTACCGGAAGATGTGCGGACCATCTCGTGGCTCCCTAAGTTTAAACTGCATTGCCTGCCGTATTGCTGCGATGTATGACTATAATAAATTCCTGATGCCTGGCCGACTATACCTTGATACTACTAGTAGTGTCTCGCCACCCATACTGTGATACCACTAGTGCGAAGCGTAGACTCTACGCCTGTTCCGACAAATGCGCCCGGCTTTGTGCGGGTACGGCCGTGGCGATCGGTGCCTTGTACCGTACCGTACTTCGTGAGTGCATGAATTATTGCGCATCAGAGATCCAAATCGGGACGTTGAAGATGAGCCATTGCTGTGAGGAAGTGAAAGAATGGCCGACAGCAATGTGAGATTCCCTAGGAAAGAAACCGTTTTTGAGAATGGATTTTGGTTGGTTTCAGGTCTGGCTACAAAACACCAACCTTGCAGGTAGCTTCCGTGATTTGCACAGAGGCGACGCCAGCATAACACTGGTCTATGAGGGTGTCCGCAATTTCACGATTTTCTGGCCTGCAAGGCCGTTAGCAAACATGACAGTATTGGCCTTTAATTCAGCCGGCGACATCGACTTCCACTGTTGAACTGCAGGCTTAGGGCTTGAGTTGCCTGGCAATTCGGAGTCAATCATGATAGGTAGGTTAATACTAATCTGATTAGCAATGCATATGGAGGGGGGGGGGGGAGGGGGCGTAAGCATGACACTCAAAGCTTCAAAACCTGTTTCTTACACCTGGCGAGCTTGTTAATTTTGCCGTTGACATTGCGGGGCCTTCGATAAAGACTCCGACGGAGGTGTCCTTCACACGACGAAGGTTTACGGAGTATCCGGGAACCACTTTAAGTGGCTCCACAGCTAGCTGTGACTCTTCATGTGTCTGTAAGCTCCAGCGATTTTTACATTCTCGGCACTGAAACAAATAGATAAGATTGCTTCTTCTAAGGGTAACTAGAACGTCCTTCTTCTCCCTGAACGTGCGCGTCATTAAACAATTGTACATACAATCTCACGCAAGGGTAAGACAAATAGACAATGCTGCGCATCTCCTTCTCGACACGCGCAGACCCAGCACCAAAGCAGAGTACAACGGAGTGGTACGTAGGTAGAATCCTCCAGCACCTGGGCGCACGCGTCCGGCAACATGTGCCGTTAGGACATCCTCCAAAATATGCTCTGCAGACTGAAGCTGGAACGCCTTTCTCCGCATTCTGTGAAGATGTACGTATATGCGCCTCCACCTGGAACTTTCGAATATCTGAAGAGTTGCCAGAAGCAAGGTGAAGAGACGAAGTACTGGTGATTGGAATACGTCGATAATGGAAGTGACAACAACGATCAACAAGAGGAAACCATGAAGAACAAGAAGTCAAACAAATACGACCATGGATTCAATGGACGTTGGAGGTGTCAACCGGACCAGCCAAACAAACAAGCCCAACGGAGGAGAACAATGGCAAGCGTCGACAGTGAAGGAGTTAGGTGATCGGACATCGTCCATCAAGCGTCATTTGTCGGACAGCACTAGTTGTCGGACAGCTGTATAGTGAGGATATCTTTTCGATTCCAATTCGTGGAAGGTCTAAGTTACACCTTGCTGTGTTAGAAGCTCTGTATAGTAGTAACTAAGATAAGTTATTCCAATGAGGAACACAGGCTTCTTGCCGAACTTGACACTTGACTGACTCACGGCTCTCATCCGGAGCGCACGAGAAGTATATCGCTGTTCCTCGCTCTGACGACCTGGCCTTTGGTTGCCGCTCTATCGGACGCCTTGCCATTTCTCATAGCTCATTATCCAGAGTCCTTTCAATAAATACCAAGCCTTTCCTCACAAGTAGGAAGAGAGGAGAAACATCATTGGCTAAGGTTAAGTAAACATTTCAGGTGTTCGTAAGGCAAAGAGATTCGGTTGAGACAATGTTCACGTTGGTCTGCATTCACAACAAGCACCAATGTGATAATAGAAATCATCCCAGAATGTATACAGACAATGTGGTGTTAACTTAACGGCAGGAAATGACAAATTTGACACGTGACTGGCTCCCGACTTCCACATGAGCAGCATGTTTTACTTTATTATTATTTGTTTACTTGGAACACAGATCTACCGAGAGACGGGTGGAGACAACTCATAACAAGACGCAGAGGATGTAGGGACGATGTGCCAATGTACAGGGAGCAACTAGAACGACCGGAGACCTGAGAGGCAGAGGTATTGGCATTAGCGTTGCAACCTGGCATCGAAAAAAAGGGAATGGTTGCAGGGCCAAGTACAGAAGCAAAAATAAAAAAAATTGGGAAAAAATATTGAGAAAGGGGTGCTAACATTGCACCAAATATAATCACAAATATAATCAAGAGAGCATGTCTGAGAAAACCAGACCATTTGTGTAAATCGATCTCTCAGATTTCGCTCAAATTTTGCAGGTAGGTGTTTGCTTTGGGGCGTAGATCGACATTCCAAAGCCCGCGCAAAATCTTTTGAAAGGAGCCATGAATTTGGCATACCCAAACGACAAGCCTCTCCTTGCGCCACCAATTTTTTTCGGTGGAACGCAAAATCTGAGAGATCGACTTGCACAAATGTTCTTGTTTTCTCAGACATGCTCTCTTAAAATGGGAAAATAATCACACGTTTTTGCTTATTATTTGTAGTATTATCTGTATTATTATTTGGTGCTGATTTTAGCGCTATGTGGCTTATGATTTACCTGTTTCTAATTTTTTTATTTAGCACTTCTGGGTGTTACTATTTTTCTTATTTTGCACTATATTATTTTTCTCTTGGCTCTTCGGTTTCCTGGCAGTTGGCTGTCTTCCGCTTGATTTCTTGACCATCCCTTTGCTTAGATTGTGCTGATGTGGTGTTATGTGAATATGACATCCATGAAAACCCTTGAGTGATCCTTTAAATTGTGTGTAAAGAAAGCCTTGAAGACCTTGCTACGAACGGCCTGTCATTAGAACTCATATCAACCGGTCTCACAGGCATAGCCTTACCCCATTTCATCTAGGGACCGGCGGATTCTGCTCGAAAGGGTGGCAGATTCTGCTCGAAAAGCAGTAAAATTGGCAGAACCATACAAACCTTATGGCGGGCAATTCCTCGAATTCTGCTCCATTTCTTCATCCACATACCAAACATGCATGAAACTTACCAGAAAAAGTACCGAATTTTGCCAATTTTTCTACCGGCAGAATCCGCTGGACCCTAATTTCATGTCCTGTGCAAGTTTTACTTGTCCCCACCGTTGCAGACTGCTACGAGATGCTATCTAATTTTGTTGTGCTCCTCTCTTGTACCTTCTTGCTATTATTCACTTAAATGTGGGGCTTTGAATAAAACAAGTCAAACTTATCTAATTTAGTTGTCCAAAAATTGGTCGCACTGAAAAAGCAGTAGAAAAAAGACACTTTTGATCAGGTCAAGTTTTGGGCGCACACGTCAACTCTAGGCCTTCAGGTGTGTGTGGTGATGGTAAAGCATAAGTGTGCCAAAAGAAAAGCAAGAAAAAAAATTAATTTTGCAAACCAACATAATGGGGTGCTATTTAATTTGAGTGTCCAAAAATAACAAATACCCTCGTACAAACTGAGATATTATACCTTGCACGCTGATTTTTGTGGATGATGGCTGCTCCGAATGTAGAAGGAGGCTTGAATAAACTTGTTTTATTCAACACCTGTTGGCAGATGGATGGGAAACAATAACATTCGTACTTTGCCTTATAATCTCTTCACGGGCTTGGTCCTCCACTCATTGTAAGTATTATGTAATAATGTATACACTCATGTCTCAATTATTTATTATACAAAATAGAAAGGAGCAAGGAACTACAAGTTACACTATACTGTCCAGTGTCCACTAACACCACCAGTTACTAAACAATCAGCACATGCGATAACATTGCTCGACACTGACCGACGATACTGACATTCTACAACGAACTGGCTAACAGCTCTAGCACATCTTGGATGCGCACTCCAACAGCCTTCTAACATGGAAGGTTCTAAGCTTTAGAAATAATATCAGGAGGGGAAGGTGAGCGCAACCAAGATAAGCACGAGTTGAAAGTCTCAGCTGTGAAGGACGTTGGCAGATGTTCATGCATGTCGATGACGATTGGTCCTTTCTCTTTTGTTTAAATTAAACCTTGGCTCTCCATCCAAATTATTTATTATACAACCACCATAGTTGCTGCCACTTCTCACTTGTATGTTGATGAGGAGAGAAAGAGACTGGGCGTGTCAACATTCAGCTGGAAGAGAGTTACATCTGCCTGTCGCCAGAAAAGAAGGAGAGTGCATGCCATACTGACATGCTCTCGCTGCGGCTGACATCAATGCCCTGATGATGCCTAGCAAACGAAATTTTAATTCTTTTTGCTACAGTAAAACCTGTAACTAACGACCACCCCTTGGTGCCAGCAAAAGCGGTCTTTAGTGGCAGGTGGTCTTTAGTTAGAGGTTTGCACTACGCGGCCATATATGGATCCCGTATATGATAATTGGAAAGGCTTCCTGTCTGAAGCCTTTCCATACTGGTACTCGATGTTCCAGTTTTGTGACACGAGAATGGCACGAGAATTAGTGTACCGCTGAGTGTACCGCTATACACGTGGTCGACACTTAGTCGACACGTTGTTGATACTTTTTTGACACGTGACCCCGTCAACGGTCTGCTTTGTGCCAATGCCACTCGGTAAACGCCGATGTCGCGTACGACAAAGACCACTATCCCGTACGCGAAATAGTTGAGAACTGCATGACGTGGACCTGACGGCAAGGACAACTGCGAGGAGGCCCCTTTCGGTACCCCTGACGGGAAGGAGAACTGCAGAAGTCGACGAAGTCGAACGAGGAGGCCCCTTTTCCGTACCCCATACTGCAAAGTGCCATTGATGGATACCTTTTGCACCTGGAACGACCCCTTAAACGCTGTCGCGGCGACTATCCCGTACGCGAAATAGTTGAGAACTGCTGACGTGGACCTTTTGCACCTGGAACGGCCCCGTAAACGCTGTCGTGTCGGCGGAGTGAATGTGCAGGGTACTACACGTGTGGGGTGAAAAGAATTGCTGCAAAAACGTCCCCTCTACTAGGCTCTAGGCCTTTGCCTTTGGAGACATCGTCGGCGAACTGAATGCGCAGGGCGAAAAGAATTGCTGCAAAGACGTCCGCTCTAGGCCTTTGGAGACATCGTGGGAACTCCTTCCGGTACTATACAAACTGCTGACGTGGCCGTGGACATGTACATGAAGAGTCATGGTGGGACTTCATGTACATGGATACATGATGCGAATTCCTTCCGGCACCCTCGTACCGCAAAGCCAACGGTGGGGAAGGAGAAGTGCAGACGTGCAGGAAGACGAACGAGGAGGAACCAGGACGAGCGAGCAATGGCAGGACTAGCTGGACCGTAAGTAATAGCTGAATTGTGCATGACAACTTGACATCCATGCGGCACTCGCCACTTGCCACTGCATATTTCTTGTCCACTAACAATGTCTCTCCTCTGCCCCCTGTGTGTCCACGGCCCCGTTTCTGAATTGGCCCGATGAATCGAATGTCTTCCGCAACTGGAACGGCCCCGTGAACGCTGTCGCGTCGGCGACTGAATGCGCAGGAGGGAAAATATTGCTGCGAAGACGTCTCCTCTAGACGACGGTAAGGCACCCCATTGATATGTTGCCAGTGTGTGCCAGGGTATCGCGCGATGGTGAATGAGGAATGATGAAGGGTACGGTGGGACTGTAGACCTGTTACCTTCTACTACTGTAACACGTTATCAGGTGGAGAGTGTCTTGTACTCACGTTATCAGGTCGAGAGCGTATTGTAGTCACTCTCTCTATTCCTGTACTTCATTACGTTTAAGGTGTACGTATAACTTCTCCAAAAAAAATTAATGGTCTACAGTCGTGTCGGAAGGGTACGGTGGGACTGTAGACATGTTACCTTCTAACACGTTATCAGGTGGAGAGTGTCTTGTACTCACGTTATCACTATTATCAGGTCGAGAGCGTATTGTAGTCACTCTCTCTATTCGTGTACTTCATTACGTTTCAGGTGTACGTATAACTTTTCCAAGAAATTTAATGGTTCACGTCTTCAGATAGAGAGCGTATTGCACCCACTGTCTAGTCTCTGTAGTGCATTGAGATTTTGTTGATCGAACATGAAATGGATACACAGACAAAGCCAGGCCAAGTACATGGCTAGATGTCGCCAGAAGAACGTCTTCAGGTAGAGAGCGTATTGCACCCACTGTCTAGTCGATTTTGTGGATCGCACATGAAATGGATACACAGACAAAGCAGGCCAAGTACATGAGAGAGTGGACGATGTGCAGATCGACACGGTCTGCGGGTACTTCATTAAAGTTACCCGTGACATGACTAGGATAAATGTTAATCACTGCAAAAACATTGCCAAGTATGTGAGCACTTTGGACTTGACAGAAGAGTGCATGGGCGACGTTGACAAAACATACAGTGGTGACTGTCACTATCATGACAGCAGGGGCACATCGCACGCAGCATCGCAGATCGTGTCGAATTGCGCATCATAATATTGCAAAATTGCTCCTGTGCATGCAAGTGGATTTCATTGCACTTCTCAGTTTGGGAAATGCTCGATTATGACAATTCTCCGTGTGAGTGCACTAGCCCTGAACAGACATGTACGTGAACCGTTTGTGGTGTCTCATAGCCTACCTCACGACCTTCTGCTTTCTTGCTTCATCACTTGTATCTTGCAGGTATATCATCCCGCGACGACCACATTGAAGTCTGAATTTGAAGTGTGAAGATGCTTCAGCAACCACATCGTACTTTTCCATTGCTTTCATTGTGCTTCTACTGTGCATGTGTGTAACTTGTGGGGTAAACATGTGATGACATTGTATGCTGGCGACACGGTCAGATGTTCATGAGTCTAACGTACACCTGCATGTTATGCATTGAAAAGGGTTTGCCACTTGCGATCCTGGGACGAGTATCAGGTCCGCTTTGTCCTATGTGGGCTGTATCAGATTGCTGTTCACTTCTCTATCTGTTGGATATGTGACTTTCTGCAAGTTTCTGGTGTATGATGGCCACGTCCTTGCTTGTTACTTTGTATGATATTACATTCTGTATTCGCTGCTTCCATGGCATGGTCTGCAAACTGCAATCCTTGGGCAAATGTCATGTTTGCTATGTTGTGCTTTGGCCGTCAGCTTGTCTACACGCTGTAGTTGAATTATTTTTGTTTCACAACTGACTTCCTCAAGTACGGTGGCCACTGCTTTGCATGGCATTATACATGAAGAATTTCCTGTTTGTGTCGTGTGCATGTGCGTATGTGTGCGTGGCCACGTGTGTGTGCCGTGTGCATACACATGTTTGTGTATCTGTGTGCGGGGTAGCGAGGCGGGGAGGGCTGGTATGTATCAGTGTGTTATTGCAGTCGCATGGCTACATACAGTACATCGCGCGCGTGGTCATCATGTTTACCTTCGGGGTTGGGGTGGGGAGGGAACGGAAAAAGAGCTGAAATTATCCATATAAAAATCGCTCTGTGAGCGGTTCTGAAAAACCTTTACTGGTACTGCCCCGTCGTAAAAGTAAGAAATTAGAACTGGCCCATTGTCCCCCCAAATGCGAACTGATCCACCTAAATCGCGAATGACGGGACCCGAACGCACCAGTAGCACGAGGTTCCTACCCGTGGATGCAGATGGGGACGTTGGTCTGGACCATAGGCCATGTACTGTACTAGCGGTAGGCTTCCCTATCAAAATAATAAATTCTACTACTACTAGTGTTACCCTATGATCCTGTGCCCTCCCGACCTCGTGCTACTGGTGCGTTCGGGTCCCGTCATTCGCGATTTAGGTGGATCAGTTCGCATTTGGGGGGACAATGGGCCAGTTCTAATTTCTTACTTTTACGACGGGGCAGTACCAGTAAAGGTTTTTCAGAACCGCTCACAGAGCGATTTTTATATGGATAATATCATATACGGGATCCAAATATGGTCGCGTAGTGCACATAATATATTATGTATGTCTAAGTGCAGGTAATACGATTCACCAGGACTTGCGCAATCCCATTCTTATTTCAGGTCAAACAACACTTGGAGAGAGAGAGACGGAGAGAGACAGAGGGAGAAGACTGCGTTTTGCAAACATCCAATTCAGCTGCTACTTCTGAAACCAGGAGTCAAACGATCCCTGTAGAAGTTTCGTTTTGCGCTGGGCTTCAAATTTGTTCATGTGATCAATTGTACAGACTGTCCTTGTTATAACTTCTCGATTGCTTGAACGCGATCCTTTAGCATAAGGACCTTGCAGTGCTGCTTGTTTCTGGATTCCTTGATGCCATCGTCGATTCGTCTGTATGCCTGGGGTGTAGGAGCCGCTCTGTCTTCGTTTCTCCTCCGAGTAATAACATCAATCAGAAAGCGCTTTCGATGCGCTCTCCAAGACGTTTCCTATCGTGTTTATTCTTGACAGAGCTTGAAATTTGGACAGGTGTAGTGCAGTCCACACCGATTCCACAGTCAAAATGACCTGTGTTCATTTGTTCAGCTGTAGTATCGAAAGAGTCCTTTCAAGACCATGGAAAATCAGCAAATTTTCAAGAAGGAGCCTTGAGTAACATTTTGATTTTGTACATCGCGTTCGGTAGTTACGGGTCAATAATCGTCTTTGGGGCAAGAAAGGCGGTCGCTGGTCGCGTTCAGCGGGTAGTCGCTAGTCACAGTGCATTTTGAACGTGAG